TGTATGATTTTGTTTTTTCTCATTCTAAGATGGCAACTCCCCCTCCCAAAAGGAGTATGTCAGGGGGAGGAAAGGCACAGGGAGGGTGTTTGGGTGGCAAAGGTCAGGGGTTAGGGGTTGGGACTTCTGGTCCCAAGATGGCGACCCCAGGCAGGGTCAACAGTCAAGGGGCAGGGCTACCCATGCAGCCCTTGACAGCTCACCAAACCTCCTTAAGCAGCCCTCCACCCGAAATAATTACCCACCCCTGCTCTAGGCATTACGACCCAGATCCACAAAAGGTATTTAGATATCTAAACCATCAGAAACCTGGGTATCTAAATACTTCCATAGATCTGGCCCTATGTTAACACAAATTGGAACTCGAATAGAGTTTGCTTGTCAGCAAAATTAAGACAGATAACAGAAGCCAACTGTGCAAGCATACATAAGAAGTATGTATAGAGAATGCAGAATCAGGCTACTATATTTGCAGCAGTACTGTGGGCCATGTGGCCTTTGCAAGAACACTTAGTCACTGTTAAAATCGCCCAGTCAGAGTTAAAAAGATAAAAGTCAACCTCTTTCTTTTAATTTAATAAACTTTTTCGCAAACAAGTTCAAATCACTATAGTCTTTTAAACTAGGCAGATATCTGGGCACTAGAACCTCTTTTTAAATTCCAGATTTGTTTTGGTGTAGCCCTGGACAAATTACTTAATCTTTGCCTCCATTTCCTAGTCTATAGGAGAGGGAAATGAGCCATGTCTATATACCATATTTATTCAAATAAAAGACAAGGCTTTTCCCCCAAACAGCATGGGGAAAAAGTCACTCGTCTTGTATTTGTATAAATGGGAACCTCATTAAATATACTGCCGATCATTAAACTGGCAAAAGCAGCATTTGGTCAGTAATGGTAACCAACTATGAAGCTGGTTAAAATGCAGCCAGCACGGAGCATGTCCCATATTAGACAAACATGCTGATGGGAAACGCCCCCTCCCCCACTTTTCTTTTTTTGGCCCTTAATAAAATGGCCCTTAAAAAAAATGGGCAGTTGTTTCCCCAGGAGGGAATGAGCACTGGGCCTGGAGGTACTGCAATACCCTCCCCTGGTGCCAAAAGTATTGATGGGAACCTTTATTTTGGCCCTGTCAAAAATGGGTATAGGTTCCCTCTGTAGGGAATTGGCACTGGGTTTGGAAGTACTACAATACAAGGCTGGCACTGGGAGGGCCAGAGCTAGCCCTGATACACTCCCCTTGGTGCCAAAAACAGATTGACTTTTATTAGCAGATGTTTTGGATTGGGAATCCAGAAAAAAGATGACAAAGCTGATATGGAAATACAAAGCGCCCGAGCGAGGGACTAACAATAGAGGGATGGGGGGGGGGAGGGGAACAGGACTAGGTTAAAAGCGATACATTGTTAGCCAACTAAGCCCGGGGGGTGTGGGGATGTTGCTACTTTTGATCTAAGCCAAAAAGGCTGAGATGCTGATGAGAACCCACCAGGAAGAAAGGTTAGTACAAACCATCTGAATAAGACATATGGTAGTGCCATTGAGCGCAGCCCCCCCCGCCCAGTGCCATCTCATTTTCAATTCAGAATGAGCAACCACACTGCGTGTATTTTGACTTCTTCACTCCCACAACTTAGCTGCACCTTTCTTTCCCATTTCCTATTATTCCTACTTCTTCACCAGCCTTATATGTCTGGCAAACATCATCAAATGGCCCCAAACAGTTCATCCAGAATCCCTCTGTTGACCCCTCTCTCAGCCTGTTGTATATGATTAGTGGTATAAAATAGGTATAAAAGTGCTGCTTAAAAGTGTGTTTATGGAGTACCTGTGCTAAAACTTGCAGCATTTTTGAAAAAGGTAAAATGCATCAATTCGGGGTGAGTTAAGTCTAATTATTACAGCTATTTGATTTTGAGGTCGGTGTTTTTAAATTTGCTCCTCACTTCCATGTGCTCCCGGACAGCAGGGTCTGACAATAAGGGGGGTGGGGGAATGGGCTGCAGGGAGAAGCAGCTGGGAGAAGGCAGTGGGCAAAGGGGACTACCTGACCCCCCACATTTATTTTCCCTGCAGTGGCAGTGGAATGGGGACAAATTCAAAGCAAACTTCCAATAATTAGATTATATACCTAGAAAATTATAACAAATTTATAAATTTTCCATATATAGAATCTAATTATTAGGGGAGTCATCTTGTATTCAGGATTGTCTTGTATTCAAGTAAATACAGTATTTCACAAAGTCCTGTTGGTAAGGAAAACCTGGAGAATAAAGTTGTATAGGTCTTCACCAAAATCATGTCAAGCAGAACGCTAATGAAGTCAAACATTTATGGATCTTGTGGGTGATGAGGCCTATTGTCTAGGTGTTCTACATCCTTCCACAACTGAATGGGCTCAAGTACAGCTTTTCACTTCAAAACCATGTACATGAGATGTCAATGTCATCCTAAAAATGGCCAAATGAGGGAACAAGACATTACACAGCAACACTGCTCAAACACAAAAGTCTTTGTCTTGTAGACAGTGACATTCATTTACTGGAGATTCCCCAGATGGATGGATGCATCCAAGTCTCCCTTTCAAAGGCCACACTGTCAACCTACACTAATTAATTTTCACAGTATGCTAACAGTAAATTCCAGTTCTCAAAATCATTACTTATGAACTTAAATTTTTTATAAACTACTTCTTCCCTTTTAAAAACAAAAAGTTCAAACTACTAAATACTCACCCTATTCATTAGAAGGTACCAACAATAAACAGCATTAGAAAATTAACTATTGCTATTTTTTTCCATCCTAAATTGTGTCAATTCCCCAGGAGTTTTGTCTACATTATAGTTTGCACTGACTAACACAAGAAGAAATTTTGTATGTAAAAAATTCTCTTGTAGACATAACCAAAAAGAAACAGCCATTTCTTTTATTATATGGCATAAATCTTTCTATTCCATAACTACCAATTGGGATGCTATACAATACCATCTCCCTGCGCTCTCAAAGGGCTATCGATCCCATACAAGATTCTTCCATTCTGATCATAATGCTAGAAATCTCATCCAAGTGCTAATCATTCTTCTCCTCCTTGCTGGCCCTGGGCCTGCAAACTTGCCATCTGCCCATTTGTTCAGTGTTGCTAAGTATGTCAGCCCCACCTTTAACTTCCTCCACCAGATCCCCCTCGTCCACTGAAGACACTCCTACCAAGGCTCTTAAACTTGCCCTGGCCTATCTATCCATCAAATTGTCTTACCAAGAGATCAATCGTGCTTTTGCTTTACTGGCAATGGCATTCCTGATGAACCTTTTGTTCACATTTACTCATGCTGTGCTTATAAATGCAATAATTCCTAGCCAAATCCAAAAAGCCACCATTTGCCCTCTTTAAGCCTCTGCTTTTCCACCACACATACAGAAGCCTGCAAAGGTAAGGGCTTGGGTTTGGTGCTGAGTTTTAACAACTGCTATTAATGGTCAAGAACTGCATAAAGTCTGTACTAAGACATCCTATTATTTGTTCCCCCTTTTTCCTTTTCTGTTCTCTAGTTTGTGTCATCCAATGATTGTAGTTAGTCTATTACACTGTAAACTTTTGGGGTAAGAACTGTCATTTATTAAATTTCTTACTTGCAATTTGAAAAAATAAATTATCAGCAATATGAACATGAAGAACAAAGTACAGTTGAGAACAACACATTTTAAATAAGCCCTTATTTCAGTTCAAGATTTATTATACTGCTAGGTGATCTCCAAAGGGATGAGACTGGGATGGGTGTGAGATGCCCTTGAAGAGAGTTGTGGGAAACATGGTTCTTGATGTGAACCATCTGATAAAAACTCAATTACAGTAAGCTCTGAGGTAGATGAATTAATTCCCTTTGAGCAGGGAACACACTCCAAGCAGTGACCAATAAGAAACCAACTACCCCTTCAAGAAAAGTGAGTCAGAGGTTAAATTCTAATATCATAGTGACAGAAGCCACATGCACGAATTGTAGATAACTTACCTGGCACTGAAAAGTTTGTTTAGGACTCAGAGCCTCTGATTCCAAGGCTTTCATAGAAATCATTATTTTCCCTCCCATTTTAGTTATGCTATTTAGATTTGGAAACAGGAATGTGGCAAAAAGCAAAGATCATTCTATAATATTAGGCATTATTTATTCATTTTATTTGAAATGAGGTTAGCACTGTTTTTGCATGCCAGGGTTCACCTCCAAAGACCTTTTCCTCCATTAAGTGTTGAATATCAACAAGCAATCATTACATGCATTTAAGATGATTGTTCATTTTAATAATTCAGATGAATTCAGCACAGGCTGTACCAAATGGTAGCTAGCAATGAAGCTGTTCTAGCCTGGGAAAAAACCAAAAAGAAAAAGGTTTTTGTTTTAGGGTTCTTTGGTTTTCCCCACCACCTCATTCAGGTTAAGAAAAAATTAGCTTCTTCTATGTTAGCAAATTAGCAATAGGTTGCAAATGTTACCTTAATGTCTAAGAAATGGGCTGAAAAATATTCCAGATTCCATATTACTATGATCACAGCAACCTGCAAGATAAGCACCTGGGTCCTATTTAAAACAACTGGGACTGACTGCCACTATCCAAGAGCTTTTCACATTTTAAGAATTTGGGAAAGGCAAATTTAAATGTTTAGTTTAACGTGAACTGTTTCACTTAACACAGGCAGAATCCTATTGCATACTGTACAAGCCTGTGCTAACCACTTATTTTCATTAGGTTTGTTTAGATACAGTTGTCATCTATGAAAAAGGTAATGAGCTAATTTAACATTTCTTAAGGACATAAAAAACTAATAATATTTACCATAACCTGTTGCTGATGCAAACCTTTGATCAGCTTCATGTTTGTTTATGGCTCTGTAAATGAAGCAATCCAAACTCATGATTTATGAACTACCAGCTAAATTAGCCAGTGGTGGTAAACAGACACAGAGAAATGCTTGGAGTTCACAAATTGGAAGGTAGCTTACCGAAGCAGCAGCTCTTTCGGAAGTTTTTTGTTGATCACAGCTTCATCATTGTTTGAGAACATCTGCAAACAGAAACAGTTTAAACTGTTTAGTCCCATGTTTTCATCACAATTCATAACTGCTAGGAGAGAAACTGCTAGTTAGCAAGACAATTTCAACAATGTCATCTGATCAAAAACTCTCAAAGTAATAAAAGTTGTGCTTAAATGTTCAAGCTCTTTGATAGGGCAGCATATGGGTGGCATTTTATGCCTAATGGAGTTTTGTTTAATTGGACCAAAAATGCTTCATGGATTGATAAAAAGAAATTAATTATAAACTGTAGATATAAGAAGGGAGAGGGTTGTTAGGTGTTGTAGGATGAAACTTACCGTATGAACAAACATCTGACCACACATGGTGCTAATAAGGGCTTTCAATCCACGTTCCAGTGCTGTGAAGATGCATCAAAGCACAGGCATTTTAAACACAGAGAAAAATAGAACAACGCACCAAACATAACCACGTGCCACGAGCAGAAGGGGGTGCAGGAAAAGAACTGGAAGGAGAGGCTACAGGAGGGAAGAATCAGACAGCCACAATGTACACAAGATGGAGAGTCAGAAAGGGTGCGTGCAGCTCCTTCTTCCTTAAGGAAATTGGAAGGCGGGAAGGTGAGAAGTTGGTATCAATAGCAATCCAGTAGCCTAACTGAAAGGCTGCTACCTATGCCCATATACTTGCAGTGAAAGGGTTAAAAAGCAATTTTATGAGCTTAAGACTGTGAGCTATGCTCACCTGCAGGACTGGGATCACAAAGTAAGGCCTAAAGAGGTATCTTTCCTGCCCTGTCAGAGGGTGGAGAGGACTCTGGGGAAAACACTACATTCCTCTCCAATCGAAATTAAACTAGAGCTGGTCACACACTTTCATTACTAAACATTAATGACAGAGCAGCCCAAAGTATCAACTAGCTCTTTGCCTAGTTAATCAAAGTTAAAAAATCCTCACCAGTTATAAAGGGAGGATGACCCCAATTTTCAATTTTCTGGTTACTAACACATCTTAAAGACAGAAGGGCTGAATCTTCTAAGATATCTGCATGTATTGTAAATGCTTAATACTTCATGCCATCAAAAATGCAATTAAACATGGAAAGGTACAATACAGAGAAGAATGAACTCTTTATGAACACAAAACCACTGAAGCCTTATTGCCTATATCCTTGTATCGGGCATTAAAGTTTCCAATACTAACCATACAGAAGCATACTTTTAGCTGACTCTGTAAAGCAGAGCATCAAACCTGGCAAACAAGTCTAAAAATAATGTTTTTTCATTCATTAATAAGTTTCTCGTCTCCCCCCACAACATATCATAAGACTACGTTGTATGTATAAATTAGGTACCTCAAATGCAAAGCCTAAAGTGACTGATGAGCAGTGAAGTTACAACCTTAAATGGTTGAGTCTTATCAGCTAAGAGGTCTTCTTGGAACCAGTTTGGCTACATGGATGCAAAGCAAATAAAACCAACATTAACACACAATCAGCTAGGTCACTTCAGGTGGCAAAGGACCAGATTAAGAGTTAAAGGACAGCAAGAAATCTTAAGTGTTTAAGAACAGCTGCATATCATACCTTTCCTTGAAATTTATAAAGGCAACTCATTTACAAAGTAATGAAAACCACATCTGAAGGTACAAAATGCTACCAGGAACTAGAAACACTCTGAGTTATCCTTACATTTGTCATACATTAGCACAGTAAACCACTAGATTCCAAAGACTCCATTATCTCTTCTTTCTATTATCTCTTCTTTCAACAAGAGATAATGGAGAAGGTGGCCTGTAAATAAAGTCCACAGCAAACAGTTTTCTTTTTGTAACTAAAATATAAAGTCAAACATATATATACCTTGATCATAAGCAAACATCAAAAAGGGAGCTGAAGCATAACATTTTCAACGGTACTTTCAAAAAATCTCACTAACATTCAGTGAGTCAAGTTTTTTTGCCTCAATAACTTCTGAAAACTGGATTTAAGCCTAAGTTATTTAAGTGCTTTTACAAGAGGCAAGAATCTTTATGGGTGACATATTTTATTGTACCAACTGCATGGTGGGGACAGATGTTTTTCCTGGACCAACATGGCAAAATCACCACCTCAACACTACCAAACCATAGAAGATACCAAGTTATGAGCTTTTGAAAATTTTATGCTAAGCATCAAAACATTTCTAAATGAAACAAAAAGTTTTGGAGCAGTAATCTGTCCCTAATGGCTATATCTCTCATGTCTTTTATTAGCATCATACGAGGACATGCAAGAAGCTTCTCTATCTTTTGAAATGAAGTGGCTAAGAGAGACTTAACTAAATCACACATGAAGAGCTCTGAATTTTCAAAAAGTTCTCATTTTTACCACCAAATGCCTGTTGATCATCCTTTTATCTTTTTTTTTTGTGATAAGTTTGACATTAAAATGAAAAGGAACCAAACATAAGTACTGTATATACAAGCACCTTGCTTTCTTCCAAAAGATAAAAAAAAAGAAAGGAGTACTTGTTTTCCACGTTCCTTTATGTCTACTTTGTTATACAGCGGCATCCGGATCAGATTTATTTATATGCACATACTATAAATACCTTGCACCTGCAGTGACCCTTTCATCTGAAGACACTGCTTTACAAATATTAAGCAAATCCTACCCTTTTGCAACAGGCAGACAAATGCTCAACCCATTTTACAGAAGGATAAATTAAGGCATATAAGTTTTGTGACCTACCCCAGCTCCCACAGTAACTCAGTAAAATCCAACTCTCAGTCCCTGTGAAAATAAAGAACATGTCTTCCTCTGGATAAATTCATTCAGGCAAATATTACTATGCATGTTACCAGATGTCTGAAGATAACTGTAATGTTAGTTGTAAAGTTGGGGCTGACTGGACTATCAAAGCAGCAATACAGTTAGTATTTTGTGAGTATATTGCCAGACCATAAGCCTCATCTGCCCAGTCAGGAAATGAGGAAAATTCTGTATGAAATCCTAATGGCAAAACACCAGAGGTAGATCTTTTTCATGGAGAAGTGAAAGTAGGATTGAAAAAAGCAAAAAGTGAAGAGGTGCAACTGTGCTCTTTCTCCAAATTGTTTGAACCAGCACATCTATACTCTGCTTATAAAGGAAGAGCAGGGGGACTCAAAGGAAAAAGCCAGATAGCAGAAAGACAGCTTTATAGGAAGGACTCCTGCTTCAAGGTTATCCAAGGTTCGCAAAGTCCTGAAACAGAGAGAAGATGAGACCTGGAAGCAGCCAAACATCCTACCCCTCCTCTTCCCTCCCCTGTACTTGGCTAAAGCCACACATTTATTTTAGATTCTGACTTCACCATAGTGACCAATGTAACAATCACATTCAGTCATTTATTAAGACTATGCTTCAAAACCACCTGGAAACTAGTTACTGCAGAATGCAATTGACTGCTGTATTCTCCATAGGCAACACATTACCTGGACTCTGCAGTCTACACTTGGTTCCAAGACCATTCTGGTTACAATTCAAGGTGATTACGCAAAACAATTGAGTCCTAAAAACTGTTTGGTTTCTGGCTGTTGTAGGAACTACTCTTTGTCTTGAGCAATGCTAGGGAAGCTGTCTGGGTAGAGCCCCTTGACTGAAATGCTATGGGACCAGGTACAGGAAACTCTTGTTAAATATTCTAAGCTTTGGAACTCACTCAGCCCAAAGAGTCCCAAACTGTTGCCTTTCAAAGGTATACTTCTAGGCGCAGATATTTTCTTCTAATGAATAGTACTTAAAAGTGACTGGGGAAGGGTGGCAGAGGGAGATTGAAAAAGCCAGCTAGAATCCTAGTTCTATCACTATGCAGAAGTTCTAGAAGTTAATTTAAAAAGTGTGTACCACCTTTTTATCTCAACGTATTTAAAACATTTGCTCCTATATACTAAGTGAGTATGCAAGAGGGAAAAATAACCTTGCAAGAACTAAATTATGCTGATATACTGCCAAAAAATTACAAACAGAAGAACCAACACTAATTCCTCAGGTTAAAAAACCTGTCCAGTCTCTCCATATGCAACTGGAATGAAAGGAACAGAAACTGAAAGGACAGAGATTATATACAATAGAGCAGGCTTGTATGCAGCTCGCCAAGCCATTTTATCTGGCCCAAGGTGTCGCCGCTGCCGCACAGTGCGGCGGCAGCAGCGGGGCAGAGGCAAGGTGGGCAGGGCCGGCCCGCGGGCCCCAGACAGTAGCAAGTGGAGGGGAGCTGCTTACCACCGCAGGGCCTGGCTCATCAGTGAGCTGGGTCCTACCGCCGCTGCCTCAAGGGCTGCACGGCGCAGGCCTGCCCCAGCCGCGCCTGATTAGATGAGCTGGGGACAGTGTGTGCAGCTTGTTCTCTGGCTCCACCCCTTGCCCCCAGCACGTGGCTGGGGGAGCTGCAGCATGGCCCACGCCCTGCCCACATGTGCGGTGCATGGAGGCACGAGGTAAGTTCCCGCACGGAGCTGGGGGCACCTCGGGGCCGGGCCAGGGTGGACAGAGGCATGGGTAAGTTCCCGCATGGAGTTAGGGGTGCCTCGGGGCTGGGGTGGACAGAGGCACGGGGTAAGTTCCCACGCGGAGCTGGGGGCACCTTGGGGCTGGGCCAGGGCTGCAGGGCGTGGTTGCTGGAGCTGGGCTGGACGGGAGGCAGGAGAAGCCCAGCCCAGAGGCTGCATTTGTCCCTCAGACTGGGACATCCAGGATGGAGAGATACAAGGGAGGGCACACATGCACACACACAAACATACACACATACATGCACGCTGAAGTATGTGGCAGTGAGCAGAGCTCACATTTTAGTCAAGTGTTTGGTATGATTTCATTCTTGCTTTTATATTGTTTTTATTTTGGATTTTAAACCACATTTCCAGACCCATTTCATTGTCACTTCCTGCAACTTCATTGGTGTCAAAGGTCACGTGACATCACTTCCTGATGTGCTACTACTTCCTGTGAGGTCTTTGAATATGGCTAGCCGGCCCACTGAGTGATAAAAAGTTCATGATCCAGCCCCCCATTCAAAAAGGCTGGACACCCCTGCAATATAGTGAATCTATAGCAGTGGTCTCCAACCTTTTTATGGTGAAGATCATCAAAAGCAGTGGTAGATCATAATAGTAAAGGGCACCCCAGGATCTACTCCTCCCCTTCCCCCCTCCCCCCACCGCAGCCTGTCCCT